TTTTCACATCGACGACATTTCTCTCAGGTGTGATAGTCGCGAGTTACAATTTTCGAATCCTCAGTCCCACGGTTCCGAGCATTCAGGGTGACATTTTCGCGGGATAATCGTGCGCATCATTTCTCCACCAGGGCGAACTCATTCTTCGAGAGCAATCGACGTGACGACCCGCTTTTTGTCGGTCGCCCACCCAACCCGACAATCGTCAAGCATGTCATAACGATCGCGCTCTTTTTTGTTTCAGGTTGACGAGGCAGAAATGGCACGGCGGGAGTCTCGGTGAGGAACGGGCGAGGGTGAAGCCCTCGCAGGAAAAGGGAGCTATGGTGAAAAGCTTGGGTTTCTTCGCCAGAAGGGCGCCACCTGCTGTCCACCTTTTCGTCGTTTTGCTCGCGCTCGCCCCCGCTTACCACGGCGTGGACCTCTGTAAGTAGTTCCTAAGCTCTAATCCGCAGGCCTTATAGTACCCGTCTCGTCGTGAAACTTCGTGACTATAGCTCCTTGGCCCGTGCCGCGCGCAGGTTGTTTCGTTTATAAGTTATTAACGACGCGGAGGTTGTGCGCGACCCCAGAACTTACACCGCCGCAGTCGACGAACTTTCGATCCGGGATCGACTTTGACCGTGGTCATTAGATATCTTATATACCTATCTCAAGACGTTGCGTCTTATCGAATTGCACGAATCGTTTATATTTAGCGTTTCGTGAGTTTACGAAACCATGAACATTTTCACGAGAGATGTATTAATAATACAAAGTTATAATATTGTGTTATTCTATTTGAATTTCAATTACCGAAAATTTGCCGAAAAATTTCGTGAGTTTTTTATGAGCGAGCGAAATCATTGAATCATTTCACGAGAAACGTATAATAATACACTTAAAATTATAATATACTATTATTCCACTCGAATTTCAAGTTCCAGTATATTTGTCATAAAATTTGTATCAAAGTGAAAAGTAATACTTGATTAACAACTTCCATTAACGTATATGTATGTTAAGGTAAAATTCTATTAAATTCTGATTAAATTGGTTAAGCAAATATTAATTTTTATTTCTATCCAAGTTTTTCTTCGACGATATTGATGTTTAAAATTAAAATAAAGTAGTAGTATATTGTAATTCGTTGTGTTTTAAATATACGCGCACGTTGTAATGAAAAAGAAGAGTCGAATCATATAAAGAAGATACCACTTTCAGGATGGTACGGAGTATTCTCATTTTATCATATTAATAATAAGTAATCGCTCTGTTCCGAAGCTCAGTTCGCGAGGAGCAGCTTAATAGAAATAGATTTCCGGACGTAAGAGAGAAAAATAGCATGGTTGCCGCGATAATGGAAAGCTTAATAATTGCGCCTCCCTTACCGGTGCCCTTCCAAACAACATCCTCAGCGCTTTCCTCCCTTGCCCCGTAATTTATCTTACCGCCAATAGCCGAGAAGTAATCGATGATGTTTTTCTCGGAGCGGAATCCCGTTAACGACGAACGACTTTTACTCCCGACATCCTCCAAGGATAGAATCATACGAGGCGTCTTACGCGCCCCGTCAGACGTCCCGAAGATTAACGAAGGGAGATCGGCGTCTCGAAAGGATCGCGAGGGTGTCGCGTGTAGGAACCCTTATTCACGATCGATTTACGAGTGTGATATCTTAGTGTGTGACTCGTTAAGCCGGACGCGACGACAAAGGAAACGGATTCTGCCGGTCTCGAACTTTATCGAGGGCGCGGGCGGTCGTGAGAATTCCGGCGAGGGTGGGCGATACGCGCCGATATATATCGGCTGGACCTTCATTAATAATAATAGCGAGTCGCTCGCCATGTTGGCCAACTAGAGATCTCGATCGGTATTTCCTCCCTTTGTTGGCCACGACTCTCTCTCCTGCCGTTGATTCGAATCGCTCTCTCCCGCTGCTCCCACTGAATTCGTGAACATACATTAGCGACAGGATCGCGACGTATCGGAGGCTGACCTTCATTAATAATAATAATAATACTGAGTCCACCGTCGGCTTACCGCGATGATCTCGAGCGTTCTACCTCGGATCGCGAGACGTGACTTTCCCGCTATCGATGCCGGCGCACTTCGCCGAATCCGAGGACATATATTAGTGGCGGACATATCGAGAGAGCCTTCATTAATAACGACGATCGCTCTGCGCGAAGGCCGATCGGGGCGCGTTTTCTTCCTTTGTCGATTCGCGACTTTCCTGCCGTTGATTCTAATCGGCCGGGACGCGTAGTCCGAGGAAGTCGGCGGGCATACATATATTAGAGCACCGGAATCGCGATATGACGAAGAGAGTTCTGTTAGTAATAACGGCGATTAATCCGATCGGCCATTCCATCGGTGCCGATGAATGCGACCGGCCGAGTTCGTAGGCGTGCAATTTTCCATCCGCCGATCGAAATCGCGGCGCGCATTAGCGCGTCGTATCCCGATGGATATTCCTTCGGTATCGTTCCCGGCCATCTCTCCCCCCGCGGGTCGTACAAATGACAAAGCCCGCCCAAATTATCCCAGTTATAAATTCACGGGACCGACCGGGCCCCCCCTCGCCGATCGTACATCACGCGGAAATGCGCGTCGCGCATGGCCGCGTATGTTTTGCAAATTGCGAGCATTACATTCTTAAGCAGCGTCGGCGAATCCACGCTTTACAGAGATTCCATTTCGGCAATAAAATACGTTGGATTAAAACGTAAGACCAAAATACACATTTCACAACGGAACGGACGCCGCGCCGCGCGGCGGACGCGGAATTACGAGGCGGGGTGGTATCGTCGGAAGAACACTGCAAACTTTCGCCGGTATTAATGGCCACCTACATGCCCATTCTGTTCGTTGGCTTAGCGCGGATTCCTTCCGTTACTCCTCTCTCCGAGAGTACGGAGGCTGCAGCATCCCGCCCCTCGCGGCCCTGGCGGCTCGCGTTGCATCTGCACCCGATATCCGGGCATTAGGCATTATTGTTGCCGGCTATAATACATACACCGCGGCGTTCAACCCAGGCTACTTCAAATTTTAGCAATTTCCGTAACGCGTAATAGGGTATCGTTACTTCGGCGTGTAAACCGTAATCGATGCTGCGCGTTGCATCATGCACACGAAGCCGCGCTGTCGACGAAGCGGACGTTCGAGTTGTCGTGTCCGGATTAGTTACACTCCGATATACGCTCCTTTGTCGAATTACAAGGACCCGGCGTGTATCGTACACGCGTCTGTGAATTAACCAGCTTTGACTTTGTAATGCGCGATGAAGCATCCGGTTCGCTGAAATCGACGACCGATATTCGAATGAACGCCCGGGAATAAATGGCCGCGTGGGCGATTAATAGCGCCTTAAAAACAAGAAATGTCACGGATCCTTATGTAATCGGGTCCTTAATGATACCGCCGTGACGCGACCGGCATGAATGCGTCATACTTTGTTCGAACTTTATTGCACAAGCGGATGACCCGCGGTAACGCCTCTCGAAAATATGTACGCCGAAGAGATCGGAGTAATATATGTGCAAAATAAATGATATTGTTACATGAGAAGAACATAGATTTGCTGGCAAATCTAAAAATTTGACTAAATCTGAAAATAATTTGGTTGGCTTTTAAAATTATTATGTACGACGTTCAAATCGATTGCTTAATAAGATCAAAAAATTTATCACGTTTAAGCGTCCTAGATAACTTTAATGGTCCAACAAAATTATTGTAAGATTTGTATTTGTCCAAATTTTCAAACTTGCCAACAAAACTGTTATCTCCGTGTGTAGTAGAAAAAATAGAGATGGCCACGCCATCTAATTACATCATACATACGATGAAAATAAGTGTCAACGGTCTAAAGTATCGTTCTTCCAATGGCCCTTAACCCTGTCATTGTGTTCGCGCTCGTGAAAGCGCGGAAGACCGAGCCAAACGCGGAAGAGGATTCCTTCCAGATATTAAATCTTCGAGGATAAAGCGCTTTACGATCCTTATTAGCGAACGAGCGTGCAGTCATGACGGGCCAGGGCCTGTAACGACCATCACGGGTGTAAAAATCGCACGCATAACGTCGCAATTGGCACTTCGCTTCTCAACTTTCCGCTATCATTTTTCGTCGTTATTCCTGCGGACGTAATACACGATTGACATTATACACAACGACGCAATAAATATTCCAATATTCCACTGCCTATCTCGTGCACGGCGGAAGATATTCCATTCCGCGCCGGCCGGCGATGCAGTCGACAGCAGTTCTCGCAAAGCAGCTGTATTCACCTGTGAAACAATTAGATCGGTCCAGGAGATACGGAAACGTCGAGACGCCCTCCTATCCTCCCTCCCCTCCTCTTCCTACCCTTCCGCACGCAGGTACCCGTCCGCCCGGGGCCTCGAACCGTAAACTTCCACCCGCACGACAGGCAATCGTACAACGAGAGCGTAAACCGGCTATCGCGTGGATCCATCTCGGTTAGCTGGTTATTTAGCCGTTTATGATCCGGCCGCGATGCACGTCGATGTGCCTAGATGCGATAGAGAGAGAGAGAGAGAGAGAGAGAGAGAGAGATGCATATAATTCCAACCTCCCTTTAACCTCGACGACACCACGTTCGTTTGTTGCAGCCCAATGCATCGCGCCGCTCGGCATGGAGTCCGGGGCGATCCCGGACGCGGATATCAACGCCAGTTCCAGTTTCGACACCGGAAACGTCGGTCCCCACCTGGCACGGTAAGCGACAGTTTTTCATTCGGATAGTCCGCGCCGGACCGCCATCGATCATTCGTATCTACCGGCGCCTTCTGTTGCGCCCCCGATGGCACCCGCGGCCAACGTGACGTCATCGATATCACCGGGATCTGCGTGAACGTGCGCAAAAATTTGATTCCAATCGCGTCTTTCGCCAAGAGTCTTTCGCCACGTAAATCGGGGACTTTGAAATATATATTAATAAAGACGATGGAAAGTCACTTTCATCGCGCTCCGTTTTTATTATCGCAAAACAACCACGAGTTCGAGCACCACACGCTCTAGTTTTAGAAACTTTCTAAAAGAAAAACAGGAGCTCTATGTAACGATGAGATAAATATATCGTCTCGTGTTAATTGTGACACCTCCGCTTTGCGCGCGCGCGCGCGCGCGCGCATATACACGTGAATACTGAAAACTCACCGGAAACGCCCGGCCGCTCGTTAATACGTAAAATCCGGAATATCAGGTTTATAAGTCTTTGGCGAAAGACGTTATTACGCGCGAACAAAGAGAGCAACGCGGTCGCGAACGTAATTATTTCTAATCTAACGGGGCATAGCTTTAACCCCGTTTATGCGCGCGGACCGGCTAACGGAGATTAGCCGACATCTCTTATCGTCGTGTGAAACGAAAAAATTCAGCACCGGCCACGCGGTGGGCGCGCTGAGAGAAGGCTTATGAAGTCTAATTATAAATTAACGCCTATCCCCGCGAGAATAAATTGACGACGCAACAACGTATAATTAAGTAATCCGCGTACCTTTCCGATAGCTATCGCTTCTCGTTTGGCACTTGCCCGCGTACGAAATGAATATTTATAGAGCTGTTAAATTGGTCGTTCTCCCTGAGCGCCGGTTTATTCCTCGGTTTAAAAACGAATTTATTTTTAATTGCGGCTGACGAAAATTATTCAACGCGAATTTACGGCCGATCGGGGATTTACATACTGGCCGTCCGTGCGTTCTGCTCCGCGTTAATAATTTCTACGTCATTATTCGATGCGTCCCTTGACCGTGCTGTTTACGCTCGTAATTATTTACGGCAACGACAATGTTACCCCGGCCGCCGTGAAAAACCTTAAAAACCTCCGTTGCGTATCCCAACGGAGTTAATGCTCCAGCATGAGTTTAATTACCGGGTATACGTTTAACATAACTTTTTGCTTATAGTTAATAAACGATGAAGCACGCGACGGTAGAATTAATTCCATTCCAAATTAATTTCCACCTGCATCGCCCTTTACATTTTGCCCGCTGTTCCGTTTCTCCCTCCCTCCCACTCTACCTCATCTTGCAAACATTTGCAAAATGACTATGGCGCAAAACAGAGATCGCCTTCAGCGGACATGGCCCCTCGCAGGAACCTCCCATCCTCTAATGCAATTATCACAAAAGGACCTTTGACGTATCATACCTGAACTAAAAAGAATATTACACCTGGTCAGTGGTAAAAGAGTTGGCCGTGTAACGCCTCTGGTAGCCGCCGGTGCAACGCATGAATACGAGATGCAACCGACGGAGTACGTGCGCCAACTACCTCCTCATCCTCTCGACCTCGCCGCATCTTTCTCTCTCTCATTCTCTCTCCCTCCCCCCCTCTCTCTCTCTCTCTCTCCTCTCCTCTCCTCTCTCTCTCTCTC